CTATAAGCTACGCATGTAATTGGTTACCTTTGTAACGAACATAGCTTGTGGCCAATTGCATTTCATGAAAAGAAAAACTGGAACAACWGATTTTTTTCTTTTCTTTTTTTTTTTACAGCATATTATAATATGCTGATCTAAAAGGAATGAGTAACTACAAGCTTCCTAGAAATGTAGTGGAGTAAAAAGTACAATGTTTGTCTTTGAAATGTAGTGGAGTAAAAGTAAAAAGTTCCCAAATAAATAACTACTCAAGTAAAGTAAAGATACTCAAAAAATGTACTTAATTACAGTAATAAAGTAAAAGTACTTTGTTACTGTCCACCACTGTCAGAAACACACACCAACACTTCCAACATAAGTCCTTCAAATACACCCAACAACACTTCCATCATAAGTCCTTTATAAACACCCACCAACACTTCCAAATAAGTCCTTCAAATACACCCACCAACACTTCCGACATAAGTCCTTCAGAAACACCCACCAACACTTCCAACATAAGTCCTTCAAATACACCCACCAACACTTCCGACATAAGTCCTTCAGAAACACCCACCAACACTTCCAACATAAGTCCTTTGGAAACACCCACCAACAAGTCTAACACAAGTCATTCAGAAACACCGACCAACACTTCCAACATAAGTCCTTTAGAAACATCCACCAACACTTCCAACATACGTCCTTTAGAAACACCCACCAACACTTCAACACAAGTCCTTCAGAAACACACACCAACACTTCCAACATAAGTCCTTCTAATGCACCCACCAACACTTCCAACATAAGTCTTTCAAATACACCCACCAACACTTCCAACATAAGTCCTTTAGAAACACCCACAAACACTTCAACACAAGTCCTTCAGAAACACACAACAACACTTCCAACATAAGTCCTTCAAATGCACCCACCAACACTTCAACATAAGTCCTTCAGAAACACCCACCAACACTTCCAACATAAGTCCTTCAAATACACCCACCAACACTTCCAACATAAGTCCTTCAAAT